ATGCATGAAGTGACGTCAACATGCCGTGCTCATTGAGAATGCAAGCAAAATGCCCTGAATTCGCTTGAACGGAAATGGATATGGGCGTGATTGATAAGCGTTGAAAGTACAATGCAATGCAATGAGTGCTGCTTTCCAACAGGATGCTTAGAGCGCAAGCGATGCCATGCAATGCAACGCAATGGTGTGCAATCTTACGTTATGCGATGCACTGCGTGCTGTGGGTTGCATTGCTGTGCTATGCAAGGATACGCAACCCAATGCAATGCAATGCCGTGCTGCGCTGCGGCATGTTATGCTTTGCTACGGACACGGCGCGGCACGGCACATGGTGCGCCATAGGTTACGCCAGTGGTTTCGCCAAACACCATGGAGCCCTATGTTTTCTCTCCCCCGATCTCTGAACACCTCGCGTGGGCGTCGTCTCTGGATGGGCTGGCGCTGGCGGAGACGCGCGAAGCGCCAGGAATAATCAGAAGGAGTGCCCAACGCAGTTGAGACTTGTTTGAGAAGTGTTGGACGCTGCTTAGAGACTTACTTGAGACATGTTTAAATCTATTTGAGACTTGTTTGAGACTTGTTTGAGGCCTGTCTGGGACTTGTTTGAGACTCGTTTGGGACCTGTTTGACACGTGCCTGGGACTTGTTTGAAACATGTTTGAGCCTTGCTTGAAACCTGTCAGGGTCCTGTTTGGTACCTTTTTGAGACTGCTGCCACGCAATGCCAACATCTTCCACACCATTTTCAACATTTTAATGAAGAACGACTCGGAAAGTCGAGTCTCGCACTTGTGCACGCCGAGGGGCACAACGAGTCGGGAACGTCTAACGCTCCAGACAAATCCAAAGGCGCACCGAACTCACGAATAATATCGCCGAAGAGAGGCTGGGACGCGCGGTCTAAACCGTCCCACGGAGGCTGAGTGCCATCAGGCTCGCACCCATGAGGAAGATTCTGAAGATGCTCGCTCACAGCAGGCCGACTCTGCTGCACGCCAAAATTAAGTGCACGACTGAGGGTGTCATCCCGAAGAGTCTGGGTGGCAATCGCGTCTTGCGTACCCGAGGCCTTTGCCACCGTAGGAGTATGACCGATCACCACTTGCCCTATCGCCACCGGCGTCACGTGTGGAGCTGGCGGCTGCTTGGAAGAGGAAGCAGCAGCACCATCATCATGAAGAGCTGCCTGAGACTCACGCTCCTGTGACGAGATTACCTCCACATCACACGACTTGTCAACTGCATTGCCCTGGGTGCGTGCTTCTTTCACGGCGCTAACTCCATCTTTTGCTTCAGCATGGTCGGAGTCGTCACGCAGCCGTTTGAGGAAAGCACGCTGTTCTTGGGTAGGGTCGTGTGCCCTGCCCCGAATCTGCAAACCAATAGGGATCTCGAGAACGACATTCTTGTTGTACCCGATGGGAAGTTCCTTCAGGTCGAGTTTGAGCACAGGATATTGAGAGAAATCAACTTCTTTGCCATCTGAAGAAGCCATTGACCTCACACAACCGTTCGGTATCAATATGGACCGAAGCATGCGTGAACAAAAATGGATGCGGACGTGAGTGATAAGCGTTGAAAGTAGAGTGCAATGCAATGCGTGCTTCTAACATGCAGGATGCTTAACGCGCGCTGTGTTAGGCAATGGGGCACACCGCTCTGCAATGCAGTGATACGTAATGTAATGTCTATCGTGGTTTGCACGATTATGCTACGCAGCGCAATGTAAGCAATGCTATGCTACGCGCTATGCTACGACATGTGAGCAGGGCACGGCACAGCACCACTTGTGCAACAGAGCTTTTTGTAGTTGATACAACAAACATTGGGTTGCCTTATGTTTTCTCTTCCCGCCCTCTCTGGGCGTCTCGTCTGGCGGTCGTGTTCGGAGGAGCTGGTGGTGGCGGGGGTGCGCGAAGCGCCACTAATATACAATCTCAAGGAATGCCCAACGCATGTGAGACTTGTTTGGAGTGTGTACGAGGCTTGATTGGAGCTGGGTCCAAGCTTCTTCGAAACATGTTCGGGACTTGATTGATACTTAATTTGGACGTGTTTGAAACTTGATTGCGCTTTGTTGGAGACCTGTGAGAGACCTGTTTGAGACTTGTTTGGGACTTGTGTGAGCCTTGTGCGAGACCTGTTTAAGACTTGTATGGGACCTGTTTGAAACCTGTTTGAGACTTGTTTGAGACTTGTTTGGGGCTTGTGCGAGACCTGTTTGAGGCTTGTTCGAGGCTCGTGTGAAGCACGTTTGAAGCCTGTTTGGAACTCGTCTGAGGAGTGCCAAATACTCATACCCCATATCCCCACACACGAACAGTAGTAATGCTATGCTGTGCTATACAGTGCGCACGTGCCCGCAGAGACCGCCGCGCGTTTCCCGAGCGATTTTGATTTACCATATGGTCGACCACATGGAATGGTTACCCGTTTCGCGGCGACCTTTTGGGCGACCATTGGGGTTACCATATTTTTAAAAAGCTGTTTTTGGCGACCATTTGGGCGACCATATGGGTTACCATTTTTTTTTTGGCGTCCATTTGGGCGACCATAGGGGCGACCATATGGGCGACCACTTTGGTGCCCCCCCCGCTGTTGGGTCCAGGGACGTCACGGTCTTAGAAAAGAGAATATATGTGGTGGGACGAGGCGGCAACGAGGCGACGACAGGGCGGCGACGGCGACAGCATAGCCGCCAGACCGCCAGACCAGCACAGACGACGGGCGGTGACGAGGTGGCGACGGGGCGGCGACGGCGACAACATCGCCGCCAGGCCGCCCTACTTGCCCAGACGGCGGGCGGCGACGAGGCGGCGAAGGGGCGGCGACGGCGACGTCAAAGCCGGCAGACCGCCACACCGGCCAGGTTCCTCTGAACAGAAGACTCCCTAAGTGCAAGCACCCCTTGGGGAGCTGAAAACTCCAAACCAGAATCAGCGACTGACACAACTCAAGCAAAACCTCAGCGAAGCAATCCGTCACTGAAGAAGATGAAGCACACGTTCAATACAACGCAAACGAGCATCGAACAAACTAGAAGCTAACCAAAAGCACACCTTCTGTTGAAGAGAGAAGCTCGAGAACAACTCGGGACCCCCTTCAGACACCCAAATCTCAAGTGCGACTCTCAGTTCAGACAAAACTCAACACACACACACACACACACACACACACACGCGCACACGCACACGCACACGCACACGCACACGCACACACTTAGAACGAAAGCTCGAACTGCGGCTGGGTTATCGCTGCCAGCTCAAACAGCATCACCCTCTTCCCAAGACTGGCCCGGCGAACCTCTCCAGGAATCGGGGGCGGCCAAGAGGGGGGCGTCCAAGAGGGGGGGGTGCAGATCATGGCCAGCGGCATGTGCGCGGCCCAGGGGGGGGGGCAGGGACGTACTGGAATAAGCAGAGGCGCCATGAGATCTGGGGAAATATCATGGCCCACGCCATGATATCCCCCCCCCCTAGCCATCCCCCCCCTCCTTGCCGCCCCCGACAGGAACGCGACGGTGCCCCCGGGGCCGCGCCGGGTCCGGGATCCGCGCCCCCCCGAGCTGGGCACCCCGAGCACGGAGGGCCCCGCCGGCTCGCACCGCCGCGAGCGCCCGGGCCGGGGGGCTGCGCGGGTCGGCACGGCCAGGGCCTGCTCGGGGGTCTGCTGCGGTCGACGAGGGGGCCGCATGCGGAGCCTACCTCTGCCCCCCACGACTTCTGAGGGGGAGGGAGTCACAAGGGGGGGGGGAAACGAAGGGGGAAACGAAGGGGTGGGGAGGGAGAAACGAAGGGGGAAACGAGGGGGGGGGGGGGGAAGTTGGCCTTGCCGCGCACGGGGGTTGGCCCCCTGGGCGCGCCACGCGTCGTCTCCCCTTTGCCCCCCCCACGGGGGGGGGAGCCCCGCGGCCCCCCCCCCCAAAAAAAACTTCGTTCGGGAGCTCTCGAGCGAAGTGAACCCCACCCTCCCCCTCAGAAGTCGTGGGGGGCAGGGGTAGGGTTCGCATGCGGCCCCCTAGTCGAACGGCGGAAAAAGCGATGCCCAAAGCCAAGCCTCGGGTCGGACGTTCGAGACCGACCCCACGACTCCCGCCGCCTCTTCCTCCAACTCCTCCTCCTCCTTCCACTCGCCTGGCCCCTCGTCGTCGTCGTCGTCGTCCCCCACCCCACCCCCGACACAGCCTCACGCCCTCTCTCCAGCATGGCGGTGACAGAATGAATCGCGCGGCAAAGCAGCTGGACACCGTGATGATCTTTGGGCCTTTGGGCTTGATGGCGATCCGGCAGTGTTATGTCAGTGAACCGATAGCGTCCCGATTCCTCGTCGTTCCTGTCCTGATCTTGGAGCCTACTCTTTAGCACGATGTCGTCCGTAGTCGCGATAACGCCCTCCCTGGCCCCTCCCTCCAAACCCCCCTGATAACGTCACGATACGCACCAGCGCCGTTTGGGCAAAAACCATTCCCTGGCATTCCTAGGCATCCTCAGACGGCGCCGGCGCGAATCGTGACGTTACCAGCCCCTCCCCGTCCTCCGCGTAACGCCCGTTACCGCCAGGGGGAAAAAAACAATTTCTTGTCCCAATTTGGTTTCGATGGTATGCCGATGGCCGATGGTGCCACTTTTGCTTTTCCACATGATGAACACGCAGCAACAGAGCGGGATCAACTCCCTGGACTCCTGGCAGATCGGCACATTATGATGCCCTTCCTGTGCGCAGCACAGTTGCTTTGATAAAGCGATCTGCCTACAGTCGTGAGGATAAATGCGGTGGCAGGCAAAGATGAGAGTTGGAAGCGGCCAGCGGATCTGCGGTGCGATGGATGGGCCTCGAGAGAATCTGTCTAGAGGGGGGGCAGAAGGCAAATACACTCACAATCGGTCCCCAGTCCCCTCCAATGACCGAAACTGGCGCGTTCTTCGAGCCGCGTTCTGCCGTGGCGACGAGGGAGCCCCCGCCTCCCCCATTCTGCTGGCCAGAGCCAATGCTGGGCAACCTCAGCCCCCCGTCCGTCTCCAGCACGAGAGGGAGATTGAGAAAACGAGGGAAGGAAGAAGAGAGAAGAAGGAGACCAGGGAAGGAGGAAACGAGAGGGAAGGAAGAAGAGAGAACGAGGGAAGGAAGAAGAGCGAGCCAGTCGTGGTCGACGCGCGCGACACCGCCGCTTTGGTGAAGCCTAGCCCCCGCGCATGCGGAGCAGCCGGAAAACAAGCAGCACGACGAGCTCGGAGGCTTAGAGCGGGCAGTGACCGAGAGCGGGTGTGAGTGAGGAGGAGAAGGAGGAGGAGGAGGAGGAGGAGGAGGAGGAGGAGGAGGAGGAGGAGGGAGGAGGAGGGAGGAGGAGGGAGGAGGGAGGAGGAGGGAGGAGGACAAGGAAAAGGAGGAGGAGGAGCCGTGCTCCGCCTTGAGTCGCGCATGTACTGCTTCGGCTCTGGCCAGCTGCGGCACTGCTAAGTGCGCTGACCGAGAATTCTCGCTCGGCAGCGCGAAACTGGGACATGGCTGACGGTGGTGGGAGAAGGATGTGCAGAAGAACAGGGAAGGGAGCAGGTAGAATGCAACGGGAGCCAATGCACAAGGCACCGAATGCTACTTCTCGACCCTTGGAACCCCCCAACATGCAACCGTACGTCGTACCTGTAGCACACACACACGCGCGACAGCGTGTGGCGGAATGAAGGCACCAATCCCGACCCCGTTGGCTGCACGGCATTGCCGCCATTGGCATCGGGCACGAAGGCGTCCCCAAATGCAGGCCATGTCATTCATAACGTACGCATTGCCGCAGAGGAGACCCTCGAGTGTGAAACAATCCAACGGGAAGTTTACCTCCACGTAACAGTATACTTACTCCTCCTCCTCCTCCTGCTCCGCCTGCCGCTTTGTCTCCTCTCCTTGAGAGCCACCCCCTCGAATTACGCTAAAGTAACTTTGCAGGATCAAGAACGAAACAACATGCAAGGCCCGCAGAGGCTGCATCATTGTCGCCCCCGGCGCGTGGAACAAAGGCCTGCAGCACCGCGCCGTTGGCCTGCTCTCCTTGGACCCCGTTGAACACATGATGGCAAGGTTCATGAAATATGTGGACGGTGGTGCCCGTGAGGAGCACACCAGTCAAAAGCATGACGGGCCCAGCGCGCCCCGCGCAGCTCTTACGCAGAGAATCCATCCGAGTCCTCCGCGCCGTCCTCGCCGAACCTCCTGCTGGCGCGGCCGAAATGGGCTCGCCGCACGGGGAAAATGGCCACGATGCACAATAGCAAATGCTGCCCGAAACCGACAGCGACTGCTGCTGGGCAGGCGACTTCTGGTATCAGGTGGCCCACGCCCGCGGCGACACCAGCAGCGAGTCCTGCTCAAACTGAGCAATTATTTCTGTCGGTCTTCGCCTTCAGATCTTCCGTACCCGTTCCGACGGCAACGGTCGTTACTCGGGGGGGGAGGGAGTTAACGCTGCGATCGCCATAGTTTGCGCGCGAGCACCAGCAGGTGGGGGCTCCAGGCCCCTCCCCCCCCTCATCTTTCCCGTACCCATTCTGACGATATTCACTTCCTAGGAGGAGGAGGAGGAGGAGGAGGAGGAGGAGGAGCAGTGACTCTTGGCAACGGTCGTCACCCGTGGGGGAGGGCGCTTGGGCCCAAGGCAGCGCTGCGATCGCCAGAGTACGCGCGCGACCACCAGCAAATGGGGTCCAGGCCCCTTCCCCCCCCTTCGCACGATCGCTACCGCTGACCAGGAGCGAGGGAAGGGGTCGGGCAACGCCAGCTGCGCTTAGGTCGGGCATGTCCCCCTACAGCCGGATTTTGGACGAAAAATTAAGATGAGCCTGGCGAAGGGCCCAACCATATGCAGTTGTTAGCACCGTCGTTCTATGCACCGCATTCGGAGGAGCTCCCTAGAAGGCCACAGAACGTGTGAGGGGTGTGCCAAACATTGCCCGGCGGGCGCATGCGATGGCAGCCACTTCGGCCGTCGGTGGAATTCCCTATGGGGCAACGAAACGCGTGCGGGGTGTGCCGAAATGGGTGCCGTGGGCGCATGCGAACGCAGCCGCTGGCGCCTTCGGTGGAGCTCCCTATGGGGCCACAACGCGTGAGGGGTGTGCGGACATGGGTGTGGGTGACGCATGCGAGCGGTGGCACCGGGGCCTTCGGTGGAGTTCCCTGTGGGGCCACGAAACGCGTGAGGAAGGTGCCGACATAGGTGTGGGTGACGCATGCGGGCGGTGGCACTGGGGCCTTCGGTGAAGCCGCCTTTGGGGCCACGATACGCGTGCGGGGTATGCCGGAACGGGCGTGGGTGATGCGTGCGGGCGGTGGCACTGTGGCCTTTGGTAAGCTCCCTATGGGGCTACGACGAGCGAGGAGTGAGCCGAAATGGGTATGGGTGACGCATGCGGGCGGTGGCACTGGCGCTTTCGCTGGAACTCCCTATGGGGCCACGAAACGTGTGAGCGGCGTGCCGAAATCGGTGTGGTTGACGCATGCGGGCGGTGAAATTGGGGCCTTCGGTGGAATTCCCTATGGGGGCACGAAACGTGTGAGGACTGTGCCGACGTGGGTGTGGGTGACGTATGCGTGCGGTGGCAGTGGGGCCTTCGGTGGAGCTCCCTCTGGGGCCACGAAGGACGTGAGGGGTGTAACAAAATGGGGGTGGGTGACGCATGCGGGCGGTGACCCTGGGGCCTTCGTTGGAGCTCGCTATGGGGCCACGAAACGTGCAAGGGGTGTGACGAAATGGGTGCGGGTGACGCATGCGGGCACCGCCGCCTTCAGTGGAGCTCCCTAAGTAACCACAAAGCGCGTGAGGGGTGTGCCAGGATGGGCGTGGGTGACGCAGGCGGGCGGTGGCACCGGGGCCTTCGCTGGAGCTCCCTATGAGGACACGGGTGTGACGAAATGGGCGTGGGTGACGCATGCGGGCGGTGGCACTGGCGCCTTCGGTGGAGATCCCTACGGGGTAACGAAACGTATTAGGGGTGTGCCGAAATGGGTGTCGGTGACGCATGCGGGCGGTGGTACCGGGGCCTTCGGTGGAGCTCCCTATGGGGCCACGAAGCGTGTGAGGGGGCTGCCGAAATGGGTGTGGGTGTCGCATGCGGGCGGTGGCAATGTGGCCTTCGTTGGAGCTCCCTATGGGGCTAGGAAGCGCTGTACTGGGTGGGTGAAACGCAAGGAGGAGGGAGGAAGGGGAGGAGGGAGGAGGAAGGAGGAGGAGACGCGGGGCGCCGTCACTTCAAAACGAAGACCCAACACCACAGGATCATTGGGAAATAACAGAAAATAGCCTGGCGAAAGGCCCAACCATATGCAGTTGTGAATACCGTCGTTATATGAACCGCATTCGGAGGAGCTCCCTAGAAGGCCACGAAACGTGTGAAGGGTGTGCCAAACATTGCCCGGCGGGCGCATGCGATGGCAGCCACTTCGGCCGTCGGTGGAATTTCTGATGGGGCCGAGAAACGCGTGCGGGGTGTGCCGAAATGGGTGAGGTGGGCGCATGCGAACGCAACCACTGGCGCCTTCGGTGGGGCTCCGTATGTGGCCACGAAAAGCGTGAGAGTTGTGCCGGAATGTGCGTGGGTGACGCATGCAGGCGGTGGCACCGGGGCCGTCGGTGGAGCTCCCTATGGGGCCACGAAACGTTTGAGGGGGGTGACGAAATGGGTGTGAATTGTGGATGCGGGCGGTGGCACTGGGGCCTTCGGTTAAAACCGCACTTGGGGCCACAACGCGCGTGCGGGGTGTGCCGAAATGGGCGTGGGTGACGCATGCGGTGGCACCAGGGCCTTCGGTGGAGCTCCCTATGGGGCCACGAAGCGTGTGAGGGGTGTGCCGAAATGGGTGTGGGTGACGCATGCGGGCGGTGGTACCGGGGCCTTTGGTGGAGCTCCCTCTGGGGCCACGAAGCGTGTGATGGGAGTGACGAAATGGGTGTGGGTGACGCATGCGGGCGGTGGCACTGTAGCCATCGGGGGAACTCCGTATGGGGACACGAAACGTGCGAGGAGCGTGCCAGAATGTGCGTGGGTGACGCATGTGGGCGGTGGCACCGGGGCCTTCGCTGGAGCTCCCAATGGGGCCACGAAACGTGTGAGCGGTGTGACACAATCGGTGCGGATGGCGCATGCGGGCGGCGGCACTGGCGCCTTAAGTGGAGTTCTCTATGGGGCCACGAAACGCGTAAATAATGTGCCATGATGGGAGTGGGTGACGCATGCGGGCGGTGGCACCGGGGATTCCGCTGGAGTTCCCTATGGGGCCACGAAACGTTTGAGGGGGTGTGACGACATGGGTGTGGGTGACGCATGCGGGTGGTGACGCTGGGGCCTTCGGTGGAGTTCAGTATGAGGCCACGAAGCGTGTGCGCGGTGTGCACAAATGGGTGTGGGTGACGCATGTGGGCGGTGGCATTGTGGCCTTCGGTGGATTTCCTTACGGGACCACGTAGCGTGTGAGGAGTGTGCAGGCATTTGTGCAGGTGACGTATGCGGGCCGTGGCACTGGGGCCTTCGGTGGAGCCGTATGGGGCCACGAAACGTGTGAGTGGTGTGCCGAAGTGGACGTGGGTGACGCATGCGGGCGGTGGCACAATGACCTCCTATGGGGCCACGAAACGTGTGAACGGTGTGCCGAAATAGGTGTGGGTGCCGGATGCGGGCGGTGGCACTGGGGCCTTCGGTGGGTTCCCTATGGGGCTACGAAGCGTGCGAGGGGTGTGCTGACATGAAGTGGGTGACGCATGCGGGCGGCGGCACTGTGGCCTTCAGTGGAGTTCCCTTATGGGCCATGAAACGTGTGAGGGGTGTGCCGAAATAGGTGTGGGTGACGCATGCGGGCGGTGGCACTGGGGCATTCGGTGGAGCTCCCTATGGGGCTACGAAGCGCTGTACTGGGTGGGCGAAGCGCTCGGAGGAGGGAGGAGGGGGAGAAGTGAGGAAGAAGGAGACGCGGGGACCGTCTCTGCAAAACGATGACCCAACACCACTGGTTGGGACAAATATTCAAACCAGCCTGGCGACGGACCCCACCATACACAGTTGTGAATTCCGCAAGTATGAAGATCATCTTCGCCCGCGATATGTGGGGCCACGAACTGCGTGAGGGGCGTGTCGACATGCGTGGCGGGGCACACAACACGAGCGTAGACGATAGGTCTGTGAGCGAAAGACTGAGACCGAGTGAGTCTGAGTGTGGATGAGTCTGCCCGCGCGTGAATCTACGTGCATAAATATCGACGCCCATGCCGGCACGCCTCTCACGAGGATCGCGCCCGCTTCCATCCCATTCTTCTTTTCCCCCTTTGCACGTGCACGCCCGCGTCCAAGGCTGCGGGCGCGGCGCCGCACGGAGTCCCCGCGACGCGCGCTGGTCGCCCCGAAGGGGTCCCGGCGACGCCGCTGCGCGGAGCAGAGAGAGCGAGCGGGCTGGTTCCCGCCCGGGATGCGCGGCCCGAAAGCGGCCTCAATACGTCGATTACGACAAACGAACATCTAAAAATCCAAATTCGCCGCCATGCGAACTCCGCCACTGGGCCGCCATGCGAGTTCAGCCACGAAGACCTTCGATGGAGCTCCCTGTGGCGACACGAAACGCTGTACTGTATGGTGGATGGCGCATGCGGGCGGTCCCACTGGGGCCTTCGGCGGGGCTCCCTATGGGGCCACGAACCGCTGTACTGGGTGGTGGATGACGCATGCGGGCGGTCCCACTGGGGCCTTCGGTGGAGTTCCCTATGGGGCCACGAAGCGCTGTACTGGGAGGTGGATGACGCATGCGGGCGGTCCCACTGGGGCCTTCGGTGATGCTCCATATGGAGTCACGAAGGGCTGTAATGGGTGGTGGATGACGCATGCGGGCGGTCCCACTGAAGCTTTCGGTGGAGCCCCCATATGGGGCCACGAAGCGCTGTACTGGGTGGTGGGTGACGCATGCGGGCGGTCCCAGTGGAGCATTCTGTGGAGTTCCCTATGGGGCCACGAAGTGCTGTGCTGGGTGGTGGATGACGCATGCGGGCGGTCCCACTGGGGCCTTCGGTGATACTCCATGTGGAGTCACAAAGGGCTGTAGTGGGTGGTGGTTGACGCATGCGGGCGGTCCCACTGAGGCTTTCGGTGGAGCTCCCTATGGGGTCACGAAGCGCTGTCCTGGGTGGTGGATGACGCCTGCGGGCGGTCCGAAGTGGGCCTTAGGTGGAGCTCCCTATGGGGTCACGAACGCTGCGCTGGGTAGTGGATGACGCCTGCGGGCGGTCCCATTGGGGCCGTCGGTGGAGTTCCCTATGGGGCCACGAAGCGCTGTACTGCGAGGTGGATGACGCATGCGGGCGGTCCCACTGGGGCCTTCGGTGGTGCTCCATATGGAGTCACGAAGGGCTGTAATGGGTGGTGGATGACGCATGCGGGCGGTCCCAGTGATGCTTTCGGTGGAGCTCCCTATGGGGTCACGAAGCGCTGTATTGGGTGGTGGATGACGCGCGCGGGCGGTCCCACTGAAGCCTCCGGTGGACCCCTTATGGGGCCACGAAGTGCTGCGCTGGGTGGTGGATGACGCACGCGGGCGGTCCCACTGAGGCTTTCGGTGGAGCTCCCTATGGGGTCACGAAGCGCTGTCCTGGGTGGTGGATGACGCCTGCGGGCGGTCCCATTGGAGCCTTCGGTGGAACTCCCTATGTGACCACGAAGCGCTGTACTGGGTAGGTGAAACGCAAGGAGGAAAGAGGAGGGGGAGGAGGGGGAAGAGGAGGAGGGAGGAGGGAGGAGGAAGGAAGGACGGAAGGAGGGAACGCGGGGACCGTCTTTTCAAAACGAAGACCCGCCACCGCAGGAAGGTTGGGAAAAAAATAACCTGGCGAAGGACCCAACCGTACGCAGTTATGAATACCGCAAGTATGAATGTCATTTTCGCCCGCGCTCCCCATGGGGCCACGAACTGCGTGAGGGGCGTGTCGACATGCGTGGCGGGGCACACAACGAGAGCGAAGACGATAGGTCTGTGTGCGAGAGACTGAAAGCGAGTGAGTCTGATTGTGGATAAGTCTGCGCGCGCGTGAGTCTACGTGCATAAATGTCGACGCCCATGCCGGCGCGCCTCTCACGAGGATCACGCCCGTTTCCTTCCCGTTGTTGTTCTCCCGCTTTGCCGCGTGCACGCCCACGTCCAAGGCTGCGGGCGCGGCGCCGCACGGAGTCCCCGCGACGCGCGTTGGTCGCCCCGAAGGGGTCCCGGCGACGCGCGCGGGTCGTCCGCTGCGCGGAGCAGAAAGCGAGCAGGCTGGCTCCCGCCCAGGATGCGCGGCCCGAAAGCGGCCTCAATACGTCGAATACGACGAAAGACATATGAAAATCCAAATTCGCCGCCATGCGAACTCCGCCACTGGGCCGCCATGCGAGTTCCGCCACGTAGACCTTAGGTGGAGCTCCCTGTGGGGACACGATACGCTGTATTGTGAAATGGATGGCGCATGCGGGCGGTCCCACTGGGGCCTTCGGCGGAGCCCCCTATGGGGCCATGAAGCGCTGTACTGGGTGGTGGATGACGCATGCGGGCGGTCCCACTGGGGCCTTCGGTGGAGCCCCCATCTGGGACCACGAAGCGCTGTAGTGGGTGGTGGATGACGCATGCGGGCGGTCCCACGGGAGCCTTCGGTTGAGCTCTCTATGGGGCCACGAAGCGCTGTACTGGGTGGTGGATGACGCATGCGGCGGGTCCCACTGGGGTTTTCGGTGGAACTCCCTATGGGGTCACGAAGCGCTGTCCTGGGTGGTGGATGACGCACGCGGGCGGTCCCGCTGGGGCTTTCGGTGGAGCTCTCTATGGGGTCACGAAGCGCTGTACTGGGTCGTGGATGAAGCACGCGGGCGGTCCCGCTGGGGCCTTCCGTGGAGTTCACTATGGGGTCACGAAGCGATGTACTGGGTGGTGGATGACGCATGATGGCGGTCCCACTGGGGCTTTCGGTGAAACCCCGTATGGGGCCATGAAGCGCTGTACTGGGTGGTGATTGACGCGTGCGGGCGGTCCCACTGGAGCCTCCGGTGGAGCCCCCATATAGGGCCACGAAGCGCTGTACTGGGAGGTGGATGACGCATGCGGGCGGTCCCACTGGAGCCTTCGGTGGAGCCCCCTATGGGGCAACGAAATGCTGTGCTGGGTGGTGGATGACGCACGCGGGCGGTCCCACTCGGGCCTTCGGTGGAGCCCCCTATGGGGCCACGAAACGCTGTACCGGGTGGTGGGAGACGCATGCGGGCGGTCCCACCCGGGCCTCCAGTGGAGCTCGCTATGGGGCCACGAAGCGCTGCGCTGTGTGGTGGATGACGCATGCGGGCGGTCCCACGGAGCCTTCGGTGGAACTCTCTACGGGGCCACGAAAATGAGGGAGGAACGGGAGGAGGAGGAGGAGGAGGAGGAGGAGGAGGAGGAGGAGGAGGAGGAGGGACGAGGAGGGAGGAAGGAAGGAAGGAAGGAAGGAGGGAACGCGGGGAGCGTCTCTTCGAAACGAGGACCCAAAAACACAGGCTGGTTGGGAATAGTCAAAAATTGTCCACAGACCACGTTTTGACTACTTGTGAACATGCCTCCTTCAGAGGGACAAGCCCGACTTGAAGCCACGCGCCGGAAAACAAAAGAGCGACCATCTCAAGAGCGTGCCCGGCGGCGGGAAGGGCTGAAATCCGCTGCACTCGACTTTGTGAGCCCCCTTCTGCCAATCTCCCCCCCTTCCCCTGGACTCTGGACATCTGGCGTCGCGCCGTTTGGTCATAGAGGGTAAACAAGCCTACCTCGCTTTTGACCACCCTCGTTTCCAAGAGATACCAAGCGATGTCAAACGACGGCCTGTACTGGTCAAGCCGCTTGACGAGGAGGTGCGTGGTATGACTTGGTTTTGCCTGGAAGCGAAAGCGGGGTAGGTAATTCACGCTGTGAGTTCATCGGGGAACAAAAAGCGGCATAAACATAAAAACAAGAGAGCAACCATCTCAAGAGCGCGCCCGGCGGCGGAGAAAGCTGAAATCCGCTGCACTGGCCTTCGTGAGCCCCCTCCTGCCAATCTCCCCCCTTTCCCTGGACTCTGGACATCTGGCGTCGTTTCGTTTGTTCACCACGTTAGAGGAACAAAAAGTGACATAAACATAAAAACTCGAAGGTCCGCGCGGATTTCTCGGATCGGCGCTGGGGCCCCCCGGCGGCGCCTCCGGCGCCGCCCCTGGCGCGCTCCGCGCGCCAGGGAGTGGGTCCAGCGCCGATCCGAAAAATCCGCGCGGACCTCCGAATTTGTATGTTTATGTCATTCTTCGTTCCCCTAGTTCACCACGTGGCTCCCCAGAGGTCTGGACCGAGGTCTGGACCATTTCCCCAGTCGTCGTCGTTTGCTGGAGGGCTTTCCCTGGTCTGGCTCCCCAGCTAGCTCTGTATCCTGAGTCGTCTTTTGATGGAGGGCCCCCCAGGGACCGAAAACAAACAGAAAGCCTGCGTCGTGAGTTCTTCGAAGCGGGAAGATCCTGCCGTCGAACCAGCGGGTGCCGGGGATCAAGTCGCAGGCCGGCGCTAGCCGGGAGGACGTCCCCTCTGCCGGCACCTGCTGAGGGGCGACGTTGGCGGGGGCTGATGGGGGAAGCATTGGCCCGGAAACGGCTATACATCGCCGATAGATCGGCGAAAAGCCAAGGACTCTGAATCCACACACTCCTGGGCAGGGCGAGCTGTCAGGCCTTGGCGATAAGTGGGCAAGTGGGGCGTCGATGCTAGAGGAAAGGCAATTCGCACACAAGGAAACACTCTCGGAGGTCCGCGCGGATTTCTTGGATCGGGACTGGACCCCCTTCCCTGTCGTGCTCCGCGCGGGGGCCCAGCGAAGATCCCAAAAATCCGCGCGGACCGCCGACAGTTTACGTGCATGCAATCTTCTCTTCTTCGAGATGCGTCCACCCCCCGACCCCCGACGCCATGAATTTGTCATGACGTCGACCCCCAGAGGTCTCGAACCCTTCCCCAGGACCGGTTGTTTCATCCTGTGTCGTTTTTTGACGGCCCCGAGGGCCGGTAAGGGCCCCCAGAGGCCGAAAATGGTAAAACCTGCCGTCGCGATTTTTTCGTAACTCGAGGGGGTTTGGGCCCTGAGCCGGTTTTTGGCAGGGACCGACCGTCCAGGCATCCCTGTAGGCCTGCCACGGCATGTGTTCAGGCAGCGTTCTCAGAACATAAACAGAGCTAACTCTTGGAACACAACCTGGTGTGTGTGAAAGCAAGGCAGAAGTATTCTCAGAACCTGCCGTAGAGACCACCTAGAATTAAGTCGGGCCTCTGTCCCTCTACAGGAGGCAAATTCAAAAATAGTCGAACAATAGGCGGGGGGGCACTTTTCACTAGTTTGGAGAATGTGTTTAGCATAATGTGAACAGTTTTCATGCTTCGTCCAACATCCGCCTGTAGGGGGGCATGCCCGACCTAAACCTAGAAAGGCTCGTACCACAGGAGGAGGAGGAGGAGAAGGAGGAGGCGGGGGAGGTGGAGGAGGAGGAGGAGGAGGAGGAGGAGGAGGAGGAGGAGGGGGAGGAGGGGGAGGAGAAGGAGGAGGAGGAGGAGGAGGAAGAGGAGGAGGAGGAAGAGGAGGAGGAGGAGGAGGAGGAGGAGAAGGAGGACTGCCTCGTGGGCCCGCCGGCACGCCAAGACGCTTCGCGCCCCTGCCTGACGAGAGCCCCGGCGCCCTCGGGGATCCTCCGACCCGGGGTCCATCCGGCCCCGGGTCAGTCAGGCCTCGCATTACAGGATTCGGCCCGACCTAAGGAGCCACAAATAAGGAATGAAGCCTCTTTGTTGAAGGTCGCTGGGGGGGGCAGCGTTGTTTCGAGGGCCAGATCCCCGTACGCTCGGCGGGCGCGCTTGATCGGTCAACGGCAATGCTTCCAGCCGCCCTTCGCGAGAAGCTCTGGCTTCATGTTTGCTCTTGCCGACGATTGGGCTGCTCATGCTTGCTCTTGCCCAACAAACACATTGCCCTCTCCCCCGTCGCCCCAGAAACACAGATCGCGTTCGCTGCCCCTCAGCGAGCTTCAACCTCTTTGTTTCCAAGTAGGTCTACGAAGTCAGAAGGAAGGGACCCGCGCGTCCAAAATCTGAAGGACCACCAGGGGGGCTCGCCGCCAAAAAGGTAGCGGAACGCATGCAAACCGAAGGAACGACCGAGCCCCTTTTGAAAAGTTACTGCTCCTTATTCAAGCCGGATCCTGCAGGTCGGGCATGCCCCCCTACAGGCGGATTTTGCACAAAAAACTCAACGTATTCAAAGAATGCTAAACAATACTCCAAAATAAGTTAAAATAATATCCCCCGACTGTTTTCTTATTCTTTTTGTGAATATCCCTACTGTAGAGGGACAGGCCCGACTTAAGCCTTGCAGAGTCCTGTCAGATCCTGCAATATCCTGCGCCCAAATGAACCAGGGTCAATGCGAAGGACCCTGCAGGATCCTGCAGGACCCTGCACCCAAGCCCGGGCCAGTGCGCCCCTGTCGACTACACGCAAGAGTGACCCTGGGTAAGAGTGACCTTTGGTGCGCGGCTTCAGGAGAGGCGAGAGGGAGGCCCGAACCAAGCGCGCAAGCCGCTGCTATCGCATCGCGTTCAGCGATCGGGGGTCCCCACTTCGCCCGCAGCAAAGACCACTCAGGCGTAAGGTCACTCTTACGTGTAGGCGACCCTGGCCCTGCAGCATCCTGCAAGATCCGGCGCTCTGGCTGACCCCCGTTTGCCTTGACCCCCGTCTCTTGAGCCCCGATGCCCCTGACCCTGACCCCCGACGTCATGATTTTGTCATAACGTCGACTCCTTGAGGTCTCGACCCACCCCCCTGGACTGGTTTTTCACCCTGAGTCGTTTTTGACAGTCCCGAGGGCCGGCGAGGGCCCCCCAAGGCCGAAATTAGCAAACAACAAAAAAAACGACCGTCGTGACTTGTCATAGCTCGAGAGGGCCAGGGCTCGCCCCTGCTTGACCCTTCTCTGATTGACTGAGCCCAGTGCCCCTGACCTGCTCGCCGTCCGGCTCCCGCTCGCCCCCTGGCTCCCCAGCGGGCCCCCCGCTCGCGGGCTGCGGCGCGGGGGGCGCGCCCACGGCGCTCGCCGGCTCCAGGACGCCACTGGGACCCACCACGACTTCGCCGCGCCGGATCTTCTTCTTCATAATCCTCACGGAAGGAACCCTCTGATCCTGGCTTGGCTAGTTCTTCGCGCAGACAGGATCGCGTCGCACAGAAATCAGGACGGCAAGCTGTTCGCCATTTCCGGCCCCTGGGGGCCCTTCCCAGGACCATCAAAAAACGACTCAGGATGAAAAACCGGCCCCGGGGAAAGGGTCCGGACTTTCGGGGACGCCGCCCTGAAAAAATCAGGGCGTCGCATGTCTGGGCACAGTACGTAGGTTTTCGCCCGGTTCGGGACCTAGGGCCCTCACAGCTCGATCTGGCTCGACACAGGATGCAGCAAGGTCGTATTCAGGGCTGCGGTCGTGCTTTGGACGTCGGATCTCAAGGTGCAGACAAAAACGGTTCGCACGCGCGATGACAAGCCCTACGCGGTCTCTCACGGAGGCTGCCAGCGCGGCCCGCTACACTGGAAACGAGGGCGCGCACGCGCGACCTTACGCGGGCACCTTGCGCACGAACTTCTCCGCAATCAACCCTGTTTTTGGCCGTCGCTCACGTGGAAATACTTAATTACCCGTACCGGTGCTCCCCCCACCTCGCCTGGGGTGCGTTCTGACAACTCTCTCGAGGCGAACAAACGGCGGCGAGGATCCCCCTCCTCCTCCTCCTCCTCCTCCTCCTCCTCCTCCTCCTCCTCTTCCTAAAGAGGAGCCTCCTTTCCCCTCCCTGGCCTCTGCTGCTTCTTGCGCTGCGTCTGGTAATGGCGCTGCGCCTCTCGCCCGGGCTCTCTGACCGCTGGCCTCTCCTGCGCGGGCGGGTCGGGCGCGGCATCGGCTGAAGCGCCGCCGCCACCGCTCGAGGCCCGCGCTTGCTGCGCTTCGGGCGAGGGGGTCTGGTCACTCTCGGCCTGCAGCTGCTGCTGAAGCGCGGCGATGTCCGCCGCGAGGACCGTCTGGCCGTCCACGTCGATGACGCAGCCGTCGGTGATGCTAACTGCCGTGGGGCCACGGAGCGGCACCGGTGCGTCGGGGTTCACGCTCGGGGCCGCTGCGGAGTGCTGCGCCTGCCCCGCCGCGCCCTGCTCCGCAGCGCCCCCACGGAGAGCCTGCTGCTCCAGGAAGGCAGCCCGTGCCGCCAAGATCGCGGAGATGGCCCCCTCCTCGAGGGCGCCAAAAGCTACCGATACCGCAACCCCCCAGACCTCCCCCGGGGTGCGTTCGAACTAGAATGTCGAAGCGAATTCAGCGGTGGCGACGAGGGCCCACCAAGAGATCCCAAAAGGCGAAAACGGCCGAAGGGTAGCGGCATGGGTGGCGTTTCCTTCTCAGGCTCCTGCGCGCTGAAGACTACACGGTACGGGCTGCCGCAGGCGATCTTGGAATGCAGCAGCGGCTCGTGGTACGGCTTCCCGTCCACCGACACCAGCAACCAGCCCGGCTGCACCCCGTGCGCCGCGGCCTGGCCGCCTGCGGCCACCCGGGTTACCCTGCCCGCGGTGGTCATGCGCATGTGGAGGGGCCCCGGCTGCATGGTGACCGAAACCTCGCGCGAAGCCGCCGCCCCGCCGACGGCGCCCCTGCCCGCGGCGGCCATGGCCATGGCCTCGGGCATCGGAAAAAAGAACAGGGGGGGAAGGCTACCCTAGGGCCTACTCAAGGCCCTAGGGTAGCCTAAGTACGGTAGTGGAAAGAGGGTGTTGCCTATTCAACGTCATGTCAGGCGAATGCCCCTTAATGTTAATGGGTTGTTCTGCTTGTTGGCACTCTTCTTGTAGCTCACGAGAAGCTAGCCTCCAACGACGAGCTGGTGAATAAATGGCTGGGTAAACCCGTTAAGCGGAGCTGCTCTAAGCAATTTTGTTGTGTGAGTTCGGCTACACGTAAGAGTGACCCTGGGTAAGAGTGACCGTTGGTGCGCGGCTTTTGGGAGGCCGCGGGGAGGCCAAATCCAGGCGCGCTAGCCGCTGCTACCGCTTCGCGATCGGCCATCTGGGGGCCCATCTGTGCCCGCATCAAAGGTCACTCCAGCGAAAGGTCACTCTTACGTCTAGTCGATGAGTGTGTATGCGCGCGCGGTACGCCCGCCCGGCCGGCCGGCGCGCTCTTTGCTCCCGCATCATCCAAGCCCTACCAACACTCTGCAAAGGAAACGAGTCGAGGGCAGCCGAGGCGAGTGTTAGTAATGACTGACAGGCCTAGGGGTAGGCTTCGGGGAAGAACGGCCCAGGGGTAGGCCTAGGGGAGGCATGGGGGAAGGGCCTAGGGGTAGGCCGAGGAGAAGTGCCTTGGGAGGAAGGTGGGAAGGGCCTTGGAGTAGACCTAGGGTAGACCTCCCCTCTAAGTTTTATCAATGGCCTCACGCTCGGCGCCAACGGCAGCCGCCCTTGCACGTCCCGGCGCCCGCGGCGGCGGCGCGTCGACGCGCGAGTAGCCGCAGCCGACCCAGGCCTCACCGCCCGGCGACCAGGGCGGCGGGGCCTGGGACAGATGGTGGAAGGAGGTGCCGTACAACGGCGACAGTTCGTAGCCAGGCGGCATGTCGGCCGTGAAGGTTCCGGGGTGCCAGCCCGCCAACGCGGAAGGCGCGCTCTGGCACAGAGGCTGCGCGAGGCCAGGCGGGAACAAGTACCCGCCCCCCGGCGGTGCGGATGCTGTGCCTGGGTGAGCGAAGAGGGCTGCCGATGCTGTTGTTCCCCGAACCTCTCCAAGGGTGCATTCTGGCCAGGATTTCGAGGAGAAGCCAGCCTTGGCGACGAGGGCTCTCAAGATCGAGAAGTAGTGTCGGCATCGTTTCCTCCTCTGAGCGCCTTGCGTCCCAGTCGCCCATGCCCACGGCGCGTTGGCGCCTTGGTCACTGCGGCTGCCGCCCAGGTCGCATCCCGAGTTGAGAAACCCGCGCGGCGAGGCGAAGGCGGCGGGCCAGCCCTTCGGCTCCGCTGCGGCTATACCTCGCTCGTCCTCGGGCCTCTCCGCGCTGTTCGTCGTCTGATGCTTCGACGCCGCGACTGCCTCCGCTGCCGCGACCGAACCATTGCCGGGCCTGCGAAGTCGAAGCCAATCGACGTTGGCGTGTTTAGAGGGCGCATCGGACGATATGCCACATGCGTCCTCCGCCACGTGGCGCAAAGCTGGACGCCAATGCGTGGCCATAATAAGTTTGGCCACGGAACAACCAGGAGAAGGCGGGAAACTGTCTCGACGCCGACCTGGGTGCTTGATCCAAACTGGACGTGGATAGCGTCACGATTGAACTTGCATGGTGCCCCAATGGTTTCCAGAATGGTTGTCGACAATGTACGGCGGTGTAACGTCGCGATGACGTCGGCTACGGAATCGTTCAATCTCGAACGAGGCCTTCCGATGCAGATTGTTCGACTTCGAGTCTGGGGCGATGTCGGCATTCAACCTCGAACTCCTCAGCTGGGGTCGTGGTCGCGACAACGCGGCGCACGTCTACCGTACATATGACCCCATGGCCAGTCAAAAAGTAGCAGACGGGAAATCAAAATGTGAGAAAGAACGGTAAACCAATAGTACACGGGCACAACTATACAGATATCTGCCCGATACAATACACAGGCCTACCAGTGTTTGCACTTAGGGTTTCTCATTTCCTTTCTAAGAAACTGGGCCGAAATGTCGATTTGGCGGCATGGTTTCGCCATCGTTACCCCGTCGCCGCCTCGTCGCCGCCCGTCGTCTGGGCCTGAATGCTGGGTTGGCGGCTGGTGTCGCCGTCGCCGCCCCGTCGCCGCCTCGTCGCCGCCCGTCGTTTGGGTCACGTCGACTGCTCCGTACAGATCGCACATCATCGATTGAAAACCATGTACTTCACCACATCGATTCTCCTTTCAAAAGAAAAAATCGGCTCTACCCCTCCGGCGTTATCGCTTCATCTTTCGGGTATGTAAATCACATATGATTCTGACCACATGTCCATCCTAAAGATGAAATCACAATGTCCCAGGCCAACCGGTATCCCCCCCTGAGGTTCCCTTGTTAAATAACACTATGCGGTGACATTTTGTTCTAACATAACACTTTTTCGCGGATCCCTTGGAACAAATGGGACGAAGTGCACACGCGCACGTCGTCGCGCGCATGTCAAAATCCTTCAAAACCTTCGGTGTCGGAAGGATTTCGCAATCGAGTTTCCAAAAACACATACAAGAACACAGGGTTTCGCAACACTGATTTGCTAAAAAAGCTTCCGCGCGAGCTCTTGCGAAATCTTAAGAAAATCATCGGTTTTTCAAGATTTGCACAACACGCTACCAAACGGGCTTCGCGCGCGCATGTCGAAATCTGTCGAACGCCCTTGCGCGTGTGCCGTCGCGAGAATCCTCTGCAAAAAATTGGAACGAAGTGCAGACGCGCGCGTCGTCGCGCGTGTACGCCGAAATCCTTCAAAACCCATCGGTTTCGGATAGATTTCGAAATCGCGCGTCCAAAAAACCTACAACAACCCAAGGTTTCGCAACACGGATTTTCAACAAAAGCGTGCGCGCGCGCGCTCTTGCGTCGTCGTCGTCGTCGTCGTCGCCGTCCTCCCTCCTTCCGCGTCGTCGTCGTCGCCTACGTCGTCCTGTGTCTTTCCTCGTGTTCGTCGTCGCCGTCCTCTTTGGCGTCGTGGTCGTTTCCGTCGTCGTTGTCGCCGTGGTCGTCCTTCCTCCTCCTCCCTCGTCGTCGTCGTCGTCCGTCGTCGGCGTCTCGTCGTCGTCCCTCCTATTTCGTCGCCGTCGTCGTCGTCGTCGTTGTCGTCGTCGTCTTCCCTCATCCCTCGTCGTTGTCGTCGTCGGCGTCGCCGTCCTTCCTCCTTCTTCGTCGTTCGCGTCGTCGCCATCCTCCCTCCTCCCTCGTCGTTGTCGTCGTTGTCGTCGTTGTCGCCGTTGTCGTCCTTCCTCCTCCCTCGGCGTCGTCTTCGTTGGCGTCGTCGTCGTCGTCGTCGTCGTCGGCGTCGTTGTCGTCGAAGTCGTCGGAGACGTGATCGGTGAAGTCGTAGTCGTTGTCGTCGGTGTCGTCGTAGTCGGGCTTAAGAGGTTGTGCAAACCAAGTTGCGGGTGGGTGGGTGGGATGTTTGCAAGAGGGTGGGATGTGTCAAATCATGGGTAAAACCAAATGGTTTCGCAACACTGATTAACTAAAAAAGCTTCCGCGCGAGCTCTTGCGAAATCTCAAGAATACCATCGGACTTTCACGATTTACACAAAATGCTACCAAACGGGCTTCGCGCGCGCGCATGTCGAAATCTGTCGAACGCCCGTGCGCGTGTGCCGTCGCGAGGATCCTCTGCAAAAAAATTGGAACGAAGTGCAGACGCGCGCGTCGTCGCGGGCGTATGCCGAAAACCTTCAAAACCCATCGGCTTCGGATAGATTTCAAAATCGCGCGTCCAAAAAACCTACAACAACCCAAGGTTTCGCAACACGGATTTTCAACAAAAGCGTGCGCGCGCGCTCTTGCGTCGTCGTCGTCGTCGCCGTCCTCCCGCCTCCCGCATCGTCGTCGTCGTTGTCGCCTACGTCGTCCTGTGTCTTTCCTCGTGTTCGTCGTCGTCGTCCTCTTTGGCGTCGTGGTCGTTTCCGTCGTCGTTGTCGCAGTGGTCGTCCTTCCTCCTCCTCCCTCGTCGTCGTCGTCCGTCGTCGTCGGCGTCTCGTCGTCGTCCCTCCTATTTCGTCGCCGTCGTCGTCGTCGTCGTCGTTGTCGTCGTCTTCCCTCCTCCCTCGTCGTCGTCGTCGTCGGCGTCGCCGTCCTTCCTCCTTCTTCGTCGTTCGCGTCGTCGCCGTCCTCCCTCCTCCCTCGTCGTTGTCGTCGTTGTCGTCGTTGTCGCCGCTGTCGTCCTTCCTCCTCCCTCGTCGTCGCCTTCGTTGGCGTCGTCGTCGTCGTCTTCGTCGTCGTCGGCGTCGTTGTCGTCGTCGAAGTTGCGGAGACGTCGCCGGTGTCGTCGTAGTGGTTGTCGTCGGTGTCGTCGTAGTCGGTCTTAAGAATTTTTGCAAACCAAGTTGCGGGTGGGTGGGTGGGATGTTTGCGCGAGCAGTGGGGATGACGCCTTCAAGTGCAGCAGAGTGGAATGCGCACCATAGATTGCACCACATCTATTGCACTGAATTGAATGTGTCACACCACGTAGGTTTCACGACACTTATTGCTCTAGTGTATATATATATATGTATATATATATATATATATATATCGCACGATACGCTACGTATACGGCCAAACAATCGATTGCACACCATATATCACATAACAACAACTGCACCACATGGGAGATACCATATAAACTGCACCACAATGGTTGCACCACATCGTTTGCATCACATACAGTGTTCCACATACAGATTGCACAACAGCCACTGTACACCATATAATGCACAGCATGGGCTGTACCTCATAGGGCGTTCCAAATATCTTGCACAACACGAATTGCACGTCATAGAATGGTCCGCATGTAATACACAACGTCGGACGTTAGTAACGCAGCGCCTGAGACCCACGCTGAGTAACAGGGTGACGCGCCTGGGACCCACGCCTGGGACCCACGTATGCGTTTCTAACAGCATGCGTTCTGCAAAACACGTATGCGTGGTGCAGTCTGCGTTGTGAAACAATGGGTGGTGCAGTCTACGTTGTCAAACCCATGCGGTGCAATCTGGATCGTGCAATCGATGTGGCCCAATGAATTCCTGTTCGCGGTGCGTTGTCATACCCACTGGTCGCTGAATGATCCCGCCCGCCCACCCGCAGCTTGGTTTGCAAAACCCTTGCGGCGGCTATCGCCATGACTGCCTCTCAGGGGCTGGCGCATCGTTGCAACCGCGCTAGCGCACGCACGCTCGCGCGCAGAGCGGCCGGCGAGTCTGGCCCGACAAACGCGGCCGCAATGGCGTTGACCAGCGGAGGCTTCCCAGCGCGTCTGGCAGGCCGCGCTGGCACGCGGGAGTGTTATTCTGAGTCGATAAAATGACGGGCGCAGTATCATTGCGACGCCGACGACGGCTGACACGATGATGGTTTTGACGATGCTGGTGACGATGGTGATGATGACAAAGGCAAGGCCAATGACGTCGCCGATGCTCATCGTGCCGATGGCAATGATGGTGTCCACGCGTTGGCGATGCAAGTTTTGGAAAGACTCCGACATGCGCGCGCGACCGACGGGCGCGAGTGCCCAGCAAAATGATATTTGACAGGGACCGCGCCCCTCTAGCACGCCCGCAAGGGCGTTCGACTGATTCCGACACAATCGCGCGAAAGGCCCACTTGGTCGCAATGGATGGACAAGTTGCGGAACCGATTGCTCACCAAAAAAAAGAAACTCGCAAGCGCGCGCGCTGACTTTTCGTTTGAAATCTGGCGTTGCGAAACAACGGCTTGTTTATAAGCGCCCGGGGCACTAGATTTTGGAATCCCTATGAAACGCACCAAGTTGTTGAAGGACTCCGGCACGCACGCGCGACGACGCGCGCGTGTGCACCTTGCCCCACATGTTGCGACGGATGCTTGGACATTGCTGAGGTTTGATCAACGAATGCTATTACGTATTGTGTATTGCAAAGGCTGATGGGCGGTCAATACTCATATCTAAAATGGACGTTGGGGCAGACAAATTTGTACATTGCACATCCCCAAGGGGGCTGGTCCTTGGGGGGCTGGGTGGTGGTGGTGGTAGATCCTAGCTCCATCTGGGAAAAGAGAACCTATGTTGCTTTCCCTACGTCGTGCAATGTATGTTGAGAATTCCTTGTGGTGCATTACTTGTGGTGCAACATATGTAGTGCAAGCTACGCTGTGCAATATGTGGTGCTATCAATGTTGAGCGACAGACGTGGGTCAAACTATGTTGTGCAGTCCACGTGGTGCACTCGATGATGCGCAATCCACGTGGTTTGCATAAGTTGAAATCGTCAACGCCACAGGTCGCGCAACCATCCAGCCCACCCATCCACACATTGGTTTGCAAACTATTGGCGGCGGCGATCGCCATGACTGCCTGGTGCGGGCTGGCGCATCGCTGCAAGCACGCTAGCGCGCGCTGGCTCGCGCGCAAAGCGGCCAACTAGTTGGACGCGGCCGGCGCGGCCGCGGTGGCGCTGAAAGCTGGGCAGTTCGCAGTGCGTCTCGCAAGCCGCGCTTGCGAGCAGGCGATT